TATGTCGTTTGTTAAGAAGGATATATACAAGTTATCTTGTCTAGTGACCCGGTGCTCACTAGTTGTGTGTTTGCTGTCACCGTCTTCTAACTCAGATTGATGCACCCGATTTTTGTAACAGGGGTTTAGGGTTTATTAAAGTCGTGCGTGTAGGGTTCCTACCGCGTCAGAAAGTGAACGTATAGACGACAACGACTGCTGATGCATTATTATTCCCGTAGTACTTACACTCGTGTGCTTCAATACGTCGACTGATGTAAATCTCTGGCCTGTATTGGCAAGGCGAGGGGCGTATAGAGGTACAGCCACTGCTTAGGAACAATTGTACCGACATACATGTTCACTTATGTTGAAAAGCACACAAGAGCTGAGTCCGTATTGTCATAACAGATTCTGCACTACATCCGCCCTTCATGACAGCCATAGTATGGATTTATGCCCCACACCCTGTGTACTCAAACACACCACATCACATTAATCGATAAAAGAGTCTACCTTTGCTATACGTCTGGCGCTCCAAAACGTTGAAAAAAACAAACAAACAGGCGAGATAGGTTACTACAGCAACTGATATTGGTATGAACTGTCTTGGCAGGTGCTACAAAACATCAAGGAGTTAGGCGACGAGGGGTGGGAGTACAAACTAAATGCGTCCTACTTTGAGATCTACAATGAAACGGTTAGGGATCTGCTCAACCCCTCAGACAACACAAAAGGTGTGTGTCGGTGCAATGCGTGCACCGGGATCAGTGTGCGCGCTAGTGGGTGGCATATGTGTGACTGAGTGGACGATATGTACTTTGGATCCTCTGTAGGGATAAGCGATTGGGTTTGACAGAGAGTATGAACGGTTGTATGTTGGTGGTAAGGTGGTATGTATGATATATACACAGTATGAACGGTTGTATGTTGGTGGTAAGGTGGTATGTATGATATATACACAGTATGAACGGTTGTACGTTGTCTGGTAAGGTGGTATGTATGATATATACACAGTATGAACGGTTGTATGTTGGTGGTAAGGTGGTATGTATGATATATACACAGTATGATCAGTTAAGTTTTGTTAGAAGCAATGTGGTATGTATGATAGTGGCGTGTGTACTTCAATTGGTCACTCGTGAACACATACTACTATCACACAACACTCACGAGTACAGTCATACGCATAACCTACCAAACATTCACACTCGTGCATACCTCCATGCACACATACTACTATCACACAACACTCACGAGTACAGTCATACGCATAACCTACCAAACATACACACTCGTGCATACCCCCATGCACACATACTACTATCACACAACACTCACTAGTACAGTCATACGCATAACCTATCAAACATACACACTCGTGCATACCTCCATGCACACATACTACTATCACACAACACTCACTAGTACAGTCATACGCATAACCTACCAAACATACACACTCGGTCATACCTCCATGCACACATACACTACTATCACACAACACTCACTAGCACAGTTATACGCATATCCTACCAAACATACACACTCGTGCATACCTCCAGGCCTTGCCATCCGCGACAATGGCACAGACCAACCCTATATCGAGGGGCTGCACTCAGAAGTAGTGTCGTCAGTGGCGTGTGTACTTCGATTGGTCACACGCGCAGAGTCACATCGCAGTGTGGCAGGCACAGACATGAACGAACGCTCCAGCCGCAGCCACAGTGTGTTTGTGCTGCGAGTTAATGGCGAACACAAGGACAAAAACAAGAGTGTGAAGGTGTGTGAATGAGAACACCTGTGTAGAAGAATAAGCGATTCGATGTGCGTGTGTGTGTTTGTATGTATGTATGTGTGTGCATGTGTGTGTGTGTGTGCGTGCGTGTGTGTGCGTGCGTGCGTGTGTGTGTGTGTGTGTGTGTATTTATGTGTATGTGTGTTTAGAAAATTCCATGGTTGTGAATATGTACGTGAGTGTGGAGCGGGTGGCGAGAAGCGGGTATGCTGTTGTGACACGTGCCTATAGTATCTCAACCATTCGTAGTGCAGCCCCCCATACACTGTCCATGCTTTAGCTTTTAGGGTTTTAGGGTTTATTAGGATTAGCTGGCTGATGCCATTACGAGCCCAAGAGGAGGCAGGCGGCGGTGTGATGTCTATTGCTTCACGAAGTTGTCAATGTTTGTCTAGACATGTTGCAGAAAGAGATGGCGTGGGTGAAAGCAGTCGACTGTCCCATTTGTAGCTTCAGTTGTAGTTTTAAACTTAGAATGACTTATCTTATCAGAATGCCAAGGTACATCAACGTTACACACAAGAGTGTATGGCACACATCCTTTGAATGAGTGTATAGTACACAGCCCTTGAATGGAAATGCTCAATATCCGGCAGCTTACGCTGTGTCTACTGGAGCACACGCACTCGCCTTGTCTCGGGGTGTATACTGCCCAACACTTCACAGTGACATGGCCAGGGTGCGATGCACTAGTTCAATACCCGCTAATCTCGTATCGTTATCACCTGTATGCTTGCTACTTCTAACTCACAAGTACAGTCTATGGAGCCACTTGCAGGCTCATGCACATACGATTACCCTCACATGTGCTTCATCTGGTCCACAAGGTTTGGTGTGTTGATATATCCGTCCTTCTTTGACCCGTACTCATATACCTCTCCCGTGCTTCGGCATGTCCCAATGGCCAGGGTGTGATGTATCTGTGTGATCTGGCGGGCAGTGAGCGTCTGGCCAAGAGTGGCGCTGAGGGCGATCGGTTGAAGGAGACCCAGGCCATCAACAAGAGTCTCAGCAGTCTGGCCGATGTCTGTGGAGCCCTCAAAGTACGTGGGGGTGGTAGATACCAAGCACAACCCTCTGTGTGTGTATATGTAGAACAGTGTGTGTACTGTTTGTATATTTAGAACAGCGTGTGTACTGTGTGTATATGTAGAACAGTGTGTGTACTGTTTGTATATGTAGAACAGCGTGTGCACTGTGTGTATATGTAGAACAGTGTGTGTACTGTTTGTATATGTAGAACAGCGTGTGTACTGTTTGTATATGTAGAACAGCGTGTGTACTGTTTGTAGTGCAGTGTTGAGTGTATCACTGGTGGTGGTGGTGTTGTGAGTGGGGTCTGTACTGGGGATGTATGCGTGTCCTTAGTTTAATGCAATAAAGAGTGAGTGTGTGCATGTACTTCAGGTCTATATGTAGTATCTAATTCAGTATAATAAGGTGTAGTACAGTAATTTAGGAGTATATACAGTAATGTATAATAAGGTGTGTGCGCTTACCGGTGCTGTATGTATATATAAGTTATATATAGTAAGGTGTGACTGTGTATATATATGTGGGCAACTGCTACGCAAGAGCGTATGTTCCCTACAACTCTTACCAATGTGCGTGCAAACGTTTCTATGTGACTTGGGTGTGTACGTACGTAAGGGACAACGTACGTACGTGTGTCTAGCTATACAACTCGAGTAAACGTAAAATTGTCAATGGAAAACATGGACTGAGGTTGTTTTATTTAGCACAAACACCTACCGAGACTCCAACCCGGTACAAAACACAACGCATACTGACAGCTGAGTTTCCGTTGAAATAACGAGCTCACATTGACCTGTTATTCTGCCAATTGCAGACCGTAATTAAGTTAAATTGGGTTTGTTTTATCACTTCCAGACGAAATCCGGCCATATTCCTTACCGCAACTCCAAACTGACGCATGTGCTGCAGCCGTGTTTGTCTGGGTCTGGCAAAGCCCTCATGTTGGTAGCTCTGTCGCCCGAGGAAGCGTCTGCATCCGAGACAATGTGCTCGTTAAGGTTTGCGCAGCAGGTGTGTGTGTGTGTGCGTTTTAAAGTGCTTGAACCCTAACCCCTAAAACTCTGACCCATTGCTGTGCAATTAAGTGTACTTTATAGTTTGGTGTTGGTCGCCCGTCGCAACAGTCTTTCCCTCGTAGAGACGCGCTGCTGTGGGCGTTTTTGTTTCTGCATTTGAATGAGCCATCTCCAGACGACACAGTTGGACTGCAAACTGCCGTGCCTGTGTACTGGATACAAGAGACGTATCTGACATGAACTCTTGCCACATACGTATCCGATGTAGGCCACTTTCAGATCAATATATAATATTATATTTCTCAATTATCGGCATTATTTTTGGCACGGCTGTTATATCTAATCAGGTCAGTCAGACGGAATTGGGTAAAGCGAAAGCACACTCGGGAGACGGTACGGGCTCCAGCGGCACAGCGACAACCGCCAATAACACCGCACAGGTCACTTCATTGCATAATCCTCGCAAAAGAAAACACGGCTAGTAGAAGCTGGGGTAGGGCTTGGACTGTCAACAAGCTACACAAGGATATATATTTAATTAAAATACATGACACTATTCGCATACTGGGAGAATATCTGGAGGATTGAAACACATGCTGATGCATATTCATAATTGAACAACATATCATCATTTGCATACTAGAAGAATATTTAGTAGACTATGTATCTGCTGATGAAACAACCCATAATTGAACAACATTTTATCGTTTGCATACTAGGAGAATATTGAAAGGATTATGTATCTGCGGATGAAACAACCCATAATTGAACAACTATCGTTTGCATACTAGGAGAATATTGAAAGGATTATGTATCTGCTGATGAAACAACCCATAATTGAACAACTATCGTTTGCGTACTT